TGACCACCGGCCCCGATCAGTATCTCGCCAGCTGTGGGACGCCCTCCAGACCGAGGGCTACGAGCTCAGCGACTCCCCTGAGTACGACCAGCTACCGATCAGCATTGTCGTCGGAGCGGAGTACTACCGACTCCTGTTCCGGGGCAACTATGTCAGCTACACCGAGGACCTGAGCCTGCGCCCATCAATCTTTGGTTGGGTGCTGACAGGAACAACAGAGGACGAGCGTCGATCAAACACTCGTAAACCAGCCACTCCATTCGTAGGACTCATCAACCCCAGCAGTCAACCAGAGGATGAGGTCCTGTATCAGTCACTCGAATCCGCTTCACTCGCAACCCCGACTCCAGATGCCAAACTGGCACTGGCCAACAGTGATTTCCTGTTTGCAGCGAACAGCACCAACGACAGCAGACTGGAGGATGAATTCAACCAGGAGTTCATGGACAATAAGGTCAGTCTCAAGGACGGAAGGTACACCGTCAAGCTGGAGTGGATCGAGCCAATCGACATGGGCGACAACAAGCAAGTAGCCCTGATCCGTCATCATCGCTTAGAGCGAAGTCTCGAGGCCCGAAATCTCACACTCGACTACGCCAAAGAGCTAGGAGAGATGGTGAGAAACTTTACAGAACCAGCTGAGGAGCCTTGCAAGTCACGCAAGTGCTATTACATGCCTCACCACCCAGTGGTCCGCATGGACAAGGAAACAACAAAGATGAGAGTCGTCTTCGACGCTTCATCACACGCGACTGGAACCAAACCACTGAACGACAACCTCTTCAAGGGCATTGTCAAGTGGGATCTGCTGAACCTGCTGCTGCGCTTCCGCTTTGGCCAGCATGCCGTCATTGCCGACGTCGAAAAGGCCTTCTTGCAAATCAGAGTCGACCCCGACGACAGAGACGCCTTCCGTTTCTGGTGGAGAGACGAAACAGGACAACTCACGACTCGCCGATTCACAGCTGTTCCCTTCGGCACCAGCATCTCGCCGTACCTGCTGTACATAGTGTTCAGTCACTTGTTCAAGCAGATGGAGTCCAAGTACCCAGCAGTCGTATCAGTGGTCAAGGACCGAATGTACGTCGATGACGTCATCGTTGCCTTTCAGGATGCCAAGCCAGAGGATCTAGAGCAGTTTCGCACCCAGTGCACTGCGCTCTTCAAGGAAGCCAGCATGAACTTGAGGAAGTTCCGTACAAACCATCAGCAGCTGGACGAACAGTGGGCCGGCCCCGACCGCGCCGAGATCGCCAAAGTCCTGGGCCACGCCTGGACTGTACTCGTCGACACGTTTGCTCCATCGATTGACATCGGCCCGTATCAAACACTCGTCTCACTCACCAAGCGCGAGTTTACTGCCTTTGTGCAGTCTGTCTACAACCCGACAGGAATCGTAGCGCCATTCAATCTGAAGCTGAAACTAGCTCTCCGTGAGCTTTGGGCACTAAAGCTACGATGGGACGAGCCCATACCAGAGTCAAATCTGCAAGAGGCCCTTGGCCTGATCCGCGACGCCCAACTTGTGAATAGTATGGTTGCCCCCCGCAACGTACTACCCGACGACGACTCCGTGCCAACTCTGCGCATTTACGCCGACGCCAGTGAGAAAGCAGTGGCCGTCGTAGCCTATTGCTGTTCATCGAAAGGAAACTTTCACATCCTCGCCAAAACGAAACTTGCCCGATCAGCAACGATGCCTGAACTTGAGCTCGACGCTCTTGGAATGGCCGCAGCAGTAGCCAATCATCTCACATTCGTTCACCCCTTCTCTCGCGTTGTGATTTGTGGTGATTCGAAGTGCAATCTGCAACGTCTCCAGCAGCACCCAAACAAGCAGAAGCCATCAATAGCTCTGCGGATTCGTAAGATCAGCAANATTCGAAGTGCAATCTGCAACGTCTCCAGCAGCACCCAAACAAGCAGAAGCCATCAATAGCTCTGCGGATTCGTAAGATCAGCAAACTCGCTCCAACAGCCACTTTCCGTCATGTGACGACGAAGGAGAACTTGGCCGACATCGCGTCGCGCGGTGCCACCATGGCCCAACTTGTCAAAGTCAAACAGTGGCTCGAAGCTGGAGAACTACCATCTTCCACCCAGTTCGAGCACACACTTTCCAGCCAAGTGATGACAGTGTCAACAATGCCAACAACTGACCCGAACCAGTGTCGTTGTACTCGCTACGCGACTTACCAGCTAGCAGTGGGCACGTACCGATACGTCGCCAGACTGCTGAAAAGGATGTCTCCCAAGTACGACGACTTACCAGAGCTGGACCTCGCCTTGATCTTCCTGATCCGCGAGGTGCAACAGAACCACTTTCAGCATCACATCGCTGATGTGGATGCAGCGGCAAACATAACATTCGACAAACAAAGTCTCCTGCGGAACTTTGGAGCCCACCTCGACCAGCACGGATTAGTCCGACTGAGAACCCGCATCGAACAGTCAGTGAACTTCTCCTACGAGGAGGTTCACCCGATCATCTTGCCTCCTCACTGTCACTTCTCTCGACTGGTGATCGCCAATACTCACCATCAGCTGTTTCATCCCGGCGTCGAGAGAACCTGTAGCTCCATACGAGAGCGCTTCTTCATCATCAACCAGCGCAGGATGGTGAAGCATTTTGTCAATAACTGCCAGATCTGTCGTCGTAAGCGACACACAGTATCAACCATTCGCCACGGACCAGTCCCAGCATTTCGCTACGACGTCAGCAGCCCGCCGTTTACCAATACTGGCATCGACCTGTTCGGACCGGTCAAGGTTCCGATGGAAGGTGACGCCAAGGTCTACGGAGTCATCTACGTGTGTGCGACCAGCCGACTCGTCTACATCGACGCCATTCCAGACATGACCGCCGAGTCTGTCTTTAAATCAGTGACCCAGTTCGTGGCGCGGAACGGCCTGCCTCGGATGTTCTATTCCGACAACGGCAAACAGTTCATCAAGGTAAAGAATGACCTGCAAAAGTACCTGGAGGAGATGAGCCTCAAGCGACCAGACCAGGAGTACCGCTTCCAGTGGCAGCACCTGACAGCCCACTCTCCCTGGAAAGGGGGATTCTACGAACGTCTGAACAGGTCCATCAAGGAGGCGCTGGCCACTTTCTCCCTTGATCGGACAGTCTCGACGCAGAGCATCGCAGGCCGCGTCAACGGCAAGAAAGCCAAACTTACACTCGACCAACTCAAGTACGTCTTTGCAGAGATCGAGTCAATGATCAACAATCGGCCCCTCTTTGAGCACGAGGGCAAAGTCATCAGGCCCGTCGACTTCAGAGCCGGACAGGGCAGTCTTCAGATGCCAATCGCATGCA